GACAGACAGACAGACAGACAGACAGACAGACAGACAGACAGACAGACAGACAGACGCGTGGGTAACGGTTAGGAGCTTCGCTACCACAAACAGGAGATTGAAGTTCGATTCCCGAGTCGGGAAATTTTAAAAAATCAAGTATGCCGGTTTTTCTGCTGAGGTCTATGTATGATGAACCCCTTTCGTCCTGGGTTGGCCTTGACAAGAAGATTAGAAGCCCTCCTCCTGAATGATCTAGATAGTGTCGCTGGAGATGTACAAAGGTACCTACATTATTAAAATTTATTTAGAATGTACTTTGTTATCCCCCAACATCTAGGCCGATGGGCTAGAGCCTAGATGGCCGCTGGATCGGAAAGGTAAAGTAAGTACACCCCCACCCCCCTTCCCAACACACGCACACCTTTCTCAAGCAACTAAACACAGCCCGCAGTATCCCACTAACTGACCTGAGGTTCATAAAGTGATACATCTTGATATTTCACTACCTCAGAATTACATTTCATCTGCTTAGTACCCGGTTTTGAGAAAGTTGACGTAAAAAAATTTGAGTTTCACAACATGTCAAGCTTTTTTGAATGCAGGTGTTTTTTGTTTTTTCTAAGGTCTTAATAACGATTGCAAATATTCTTAAGATTTTGATACAGCAGGTAAAATCGTTTATTTCTGACCTCATGGTCTTAGTAACTCAAAACGATCAAAAATCTCAGATTTGTAATTCTGAGGTAGCGATTGTAGGGGCATAGAATATTGGCGGGCCCTAATTCAATGTACTTTGAGTGAAATTTGTTTACCAATTTGTAATGTCCTTCTTCTCATTCTGCGGTTAGGCGGTTCGATGTTGCAAGAAAAAGACGTCAGTTCGAATTCCGCGTGAGGATGTCTGTGTGTATGTGTGTGTGTGTGTGTGTGTGTGTGTGTGTGTGTGTGTGTGTGTGTGTGTGTGTGTGTGTGTGTTAATGTATGTTTGTGTGTGTGTGATTTTTATAAATCAAGCCGTCTTCCTGCTGAGACATTGAATCAGTGTCCGCCCAAAATGGCCCTGATGGGTAGCATCGAAACAGTCTGCCTCCAAATAGATCTAAGTTATGTCCATCACAAAATACATCTACCTCGTACTTTTGCAATTTCCACTTCAGCCCAGTAAATAGTTTTGTAAGTGAAATTGGCGGAAGGAATCAAAGTCGTTAAAATATGGAGAGGTTCAGCATTTTCACTGTGTACCAAACTGGGGGATAGAAGTATCTGATACCACCCCACTTGTCATTTAGTAGTAGTAGCAGTAGTACTAGTAGTAGTAGTAGCAGTAGTAGTAGTAGTAGTAGTAGTAGTAGTAGTAGTAGTAGTAGTAGTAGTAG